GGATCGACGGACACCGCTCTGTTAACTTGGATAGATGACCAGGTCTATAGACTTGACGACCAGAGCATCCTTAGTAGCCAACTCAAATTCGCCCTGTCTGCTTGGCCACACCAGCCTTCCCAAAGGCTCTCGTATCTATATTCTGGTATCACCACAGACAGCATTTCTCGAGTACTGAACGATAGCCACATATCTTCCAACAAGTTTCGACTTGTCCGTCAACTCCGATACCTCACTTCACAAGGAGTATACGACGAATCACAATTCGCTGATACTGATTTCTGGCATCTCAAAAAATGCATACCGCCTAGGGATCAGTTGCGTATGCAGGATATTCATGATTTTGCTGCTCTTCTTGAGCTGAACAAGGGCTCGATTAGCAGCTTCGGCAACGAGCAATTAGTTTCTTCCAGCCATCGCAATAAAAACCGTCGTAAAGTGCGCGAAAAAGAAGTCAACCAGAGTTCCGAAGATTTCATACTACAGAGCTTACTTCACATGCTTGAAAGTGAAGATGCGGTTTCCCGCCGCAGTGCATACGATACTCTGCGTCTTGTCCTATCTACATCGTCGGATTCGCTGACAGGGTCGACTCAGAGAGTTGCGGTGGAATATTCTGAGGAAATATCGTTTTTGCAGAAATATCGTGTAACACGCACTGCTCGCTTGTCACGACCTGCCTCCGATATCTCTATTGTCTTGAGTTCTGAGTCGTACAAGAACGCGTTAGAGGACTTCCCGCTCTGGATCGGAATGATCTCGACTCTCTTTACAGATATCCTTTCCGCCTCAAATCCTTTCTATGCATATCTTTCAGACATCTTACAATCTCAGACCGCTTTCACAGAACTCGTTTTCCCTCGACTTGTCCAAACTATACTGCAGACTCCTTTAGGGGGCGTAGACCCACGCCACTCTTGCTCTACCGTTTTGTCCGAGTATTTCAACACCATCCTATCCTCAGAACACGCTTGTACATCATGCCGTAAATCTATCATTGATGTAGTCTTGCATCTACGTCACGTACCGACCCAGTCGCAAGATCCCCTTGCACACGACAAATGGCTCAATCTTGACTTCTTGCTACTGGCGCGAAACGCGATCATATGCGGCGCTTATACCACAGCGCTATTATTTCTAGAGCTAGCCTCCGAATACCAGGTTGGATCTGTATTATCTGACGAACACACCGAGAAGGTGATGTATGAGATTTACAGTAACATTGACGAGCCCGACGGATTCTACGGCATTCAGACGCAAGACCATTACAAGTTCCTGATGAAACAATTTCATCACGAAAAGCAATGGGAAAAAGCTTTTCGTTTTCATGGTGCTGCACTAGAAGCCGACATGGGAAACGCCTCTGAAACTGAAGGATTACTGAATGCCTTTCAGTCTTATGGGTTCAATCATCTAGCGACACAGACATTACTTAGCTCGATATCCAATCAAAATATCGAGTCCACTATGACTTATCAACTGGGTTGGCGTACTGAAACATGGGATTTACCCGATCGTCACGACGAAGAGTCGCCTGGAGCTTCCTTATATCTGGCCCTGCGAGCTTTACACCGTGAGCGTGATCAACGTGCTGTGGACAGAATCGTTGAACACGCCTTTTTCCAAGAAATGGAAAACCTACGTTCTCTGGGATCGGAAAATGTCTCTCAAATACGCCAAGCCGTTCAAAATTTGATGTCTCTTAGTCAGATCAGCCAATGGAGGGATCCACATACTCAGAGTCTCCTTTCATCACGGCAGACTGACGTCAAGAGCTGGGTTGATTTCATGAATCTCGACTCTGGATTTCAGTAAGTTGAAGCTCAAGTGCACGTTTTAATTCAACTGATTTCTTTGGTAGCTTTTCAGACCTTGAAAGTATTATGGCGACCAGAATCTCACTTATTCGATCTGCAAGACAGAAAGAGAGACAACAACAGATTGGAAATATGGTCTCTCCTTTCAGCCAACTTTTAGTTGAGATTGAGAAGAACTGTTTATTGTCTCTTTCCAGTGCCGCTCGGGATGCCCAGCAGATTCAAATAGCACTAAACTCTGTCCTTCGAGCCAAGAATCTCGAAGGTGCCCCTTCATTTCGAGTTTCTGAAGAGCTCGCCGCCGTACTCTGGATGCACCAAGAACCAAAACATGCGGTTGAATTCCTGAAAGATCTGCTTCGCCCCTTATTGCGCAATGGCTCAACAAAATCCACCAATGAGTCCACAGATATTGCCTTGGCCGCAGCTCGTCTGGTAAGTATACTTTCGCTACCTGTGTAACATCAAGTTGACTGTATGTTCAAGGGATCCTGGACTGCAGAAGCCTGTTTAGAGAAGCCATCCTACATATCGCAAGAGTTCTTCCAGCCTGCGATTTCCCTGTTGAGTACTAATTCGCAAGGGCACGCTGATGCCAAGGTTTACCGCGAGTATGCGATGTTTGCCGAACGACAGTACTACGCTATCCTCAAATCCCCGGATGCGCTGAGGTGGAGGTTTTACAGGGAAAGGAAGGAAGAGGAAATTAGGCAGCGTGATTCTCAACTTCAAGCTCTGCGATCTCAGAACCAAAACAAGGACTCCAAAGAATACAAGGATATCTTTGCCGCTAGAAGGAAAGCCGAGAAAGTCTTGCAGCAAGATAGGGTCGAAGAGGGACAGTTCTCTAAAGCCAGAGACGAATTTCTGAGGCAAGCCCTAGAGATGTACTCCTGTTGCCTGCATGCCTCCGACGCGTTCGATGACGATGCGCCAATACGACTATGCTCGTTGTGGCTAGCCAACTTCAATAACCCTCACATACAATCTGGAATGGACAAGATACTGAATCGCATCGCGTCCAAGAAGTTCTTATTTTTGGCGGTGAGAAGATTACTATGTACACTAAACGACTCTGACTGGTTTTGTTAGCATCAATTGTCGGCAAGACTATCCAGTCAAGACTCCTCTTCCCAGAAACTTTTACAAAGTGTCGTCCTTCGCATGTGCATGGAACATCCTTTCCATATTCTTTATCAAGTTTTTTGCTTGAAGCCTTCAAGCTCAGATGAAGCCCAGCCAAGACGACAATCTGGCCGAAATTTTACCCCAACTGGATTAGCGGCACAAACCGATCGCAGTGCAGCAGCTGCTAACGTCTTCAAGCGCTTGCGCAATGACCCTCTTCACCAAGATAGAGTGATGGCTGTAGAGGAACTCTGTAAAGCATCTCTGGGATTTGCCAACTACCCCATCAAGAGGAAGAAAGGCATTACATCAGGGAAAGAGTATAAGGTACCGCAAGATCAACTTATCCTCAAGTTGAACAGATGTCGGGGAAAAGTACCTGTAATAACAGCCAATACTCCAGTCGACCCCTCTATGAAATACGCCGACTGTACTTGGGTTGACCACTACAACGATACCTTTGAGACTGCTGGTGGTATTAACCTCCCAAAGATCGTTGCCTGCTTTGCCACTGATGGTAGTAAACACAAGCAACTTGTACGTCGTCTGTCTTTCAAGGGTTCAAGACACGCTGATCTCACTATTCTTGTGTAGTTCAAGGGGGAGGAAAGTGACGATCTGCGTCAAGATGCCGTCATGGAACAGGTGTTTGAACTGGTAAATATCGTGCTGCGCGGTGACGAAGAGACCAGGCGACGCAACTTGTCCGTTCGAACTTACAAAGTCATTCCTCTCGACGCTCAGAGTGGCGTGCTGGAGTTTGTCGGCAATACTTCACCCTTACGTGAATGGCTAACATCAGCTCACAACAGGTGAGTTGTGCCGTATGTATGTTATATGATTGGATTTTCTCTAACATCGATTCGCGCAGGTACCTTTCTCCTGGTATGACGGCTGACAAGATGAAGGAGATCCCTCGAAAATATAGCGCATATCTCAGTGACAAAAATATTGAAAGGACGAAGGAAGAAAAGTTGGAACATTACGCGAAGTATGCCCCCATGTTCCCCCCCGTTATGCGACACTATTTCACAGAGAAACACAAAACTCCTATCTCCTGGTTTTCAATGAGGCTCAATTACACCCGAAGTGTCGCTACCACCTCCATCGTTGGACATATCTTGGGATTGGGTGACAGACACACGTCAAACATCCTCTTGGATAACTATACTGGTGAAGTTGTGCACATAGATTTGGGCGTTGCTTTCGATCAGGTAAGCGATGTTTCCGCTTTTTTTTTTTCTTACGTTGTGATTCACGTTCACTTTTATCTTAGGGAAAGCTACTTAATGTCCCTGAGACTGTGCCCTTCCGATTGACTAGAGATATGGTCGATGGTATGGGCATGTCAGGTACTGATGGAGTCTTTCAACGCTGTGCGGAAGAGACTCTGCGAGTTCTACGAGAGGGCTCCGAGGTTATCATGACGGTCCTGGAGGTTTTCCGACACGATCCCTTACACAACTGGTAATGGACATCCTCTACATGTCGGATCAATTCTTTAACGATAACCTCCTCTCTTTTCTTTACTACAGGACTGTAAGCGAATACAAGGCTAAGAAAATTTTCCGTGAGTCAGACAACGCTACAACGACCACGATTGGAGAGCAATTGGGCGTGCTCGGGATCAATATGGAATCTGGGACTGCCGAAGAGGCCGCTGACCGTGCTCTGAGCGGTGTTGCTAGAAAACTGGACAAGACTTTGAGTGTCGCTGCTGTGGTCCGAGGATTAATCACTGAAGCTAAAGATCCAGTCAATCTGGGCTTGATCTATTATGGTGTGTTCTTTCGTTTGTCTGATCGTAACTCTGGATTTCTTGCTCATTAAGGATATAAGGCTGGTCACCACTTTACTGATTGCTAGAACTGTTTTTGAAGAATGGCTGTATTATTACATCATAGATGGGTCTTACTGTGGGTGCATGTCAATATGTAGTTGTCCGCGTTTATTTTTTGTTAAATGTATCAAAGTCGCATAATGTATTTTTTCATAAGTTTTTTTCTCTTTGACTTTTCTTCTGACCCGTAAGATAAAAATGAAAATGTGATTAGTGCCCCTGTTGTCTAATGGTTATGATTTCAGACTTCTAATCTGAAGGTTGCGGGTTCGAGTCCCGCCAGGGGTTTTACTGGGAATCGCTCCCCTTCGTTTTTTGTTCATAGTTTATCACCAGGAACTTGAGATCATTTGGAACCACGCAATAACCCTGTCTTAAAGATTGATAGACACATATCTATATTAAGGCTACAATACACTTATGAGAAATCAAAATAGATTATTACAATGATGCTCCTCAGATTGAGTTGATTTTCCGAGGATGAGAGATATCCTTTCTTCGTCGCAATTCGTTTACATGATCTGACTTTGCCATGTCATTAATTACAGTCGGAGTCATCGTCTTGTCGTCACTACTGAAAAGGACAGGTCAGCATATACAGTAAGTGCAAAAAACACTCATTGATATGATACTCACAAGGTCGTAATATTCCGAGGCCAATGGGATTCCACCTGCAGCTCGACGCCTCGTTCTCGACAAGCAGCTTGGAGAGAAACGTAATCCCTGAAAGGTGTTCTCAAAAGGACAAGTTTCTTCAACGGCCTCGGAGTAGAATGGTCATCGAGAAAGTCGAGCAAATAGCTCTCGCGAATTGGGTTCGGGAAACTGTTACACAACGTCAATGTTTCTAGTTTATCAGAAACGCGACGAAACATGGATTCCGAGAAGGAGTAACCCGTACAGTAGAGCTCTCGAAGTAGAGGGAAATGCTCAATCACGTCATCGACGAAAGGGCATTCACATCTCAGAATTTGGATTTTGAGAACGCGTAGATCGAGTCTGAGTTTCCTGAGACAAGGGAGCAAGATGTGATACGCATCGGAAGTGGTGACTTTGTCGATGTTGAGCTCAAGCTCTCTGAGAGAAGGAGCTAGGGATTTCAAAAGGATAATCAACTCACGAGTCACCCTTGGTGACCTGATGCGAGCGAATTCGATGGAATTGTGAATAAAAGCATCGGGGACGATTGTTTTCCATTCGCTTTCGGTATGTTGGAGACGGATATATAACCGCTTTAGCTTGGGACAAGCCGAGAGGAGACGGAAGAGATGGTCCCCGGGCATGAGAGGATGATACCGGCCATCTATTGATAGACGACGGATGGACTGAAGAGCCGGTGAGCGAATGAGAGCTGAAAAGAACTTGTTCTCGGCGTCTATTCCACCGTCGCGAATGGATAGAGACTGAAGTGTCGAAGAAGGAAGTGCAGCCAGAAAATCGCAGATCCAGTCGGGCGAAGAAGCGTCCCTCTCCTTCTGGAGGTAAATTTTGAGCTGACGGACGTTCTCTCTCACACGAGGGACATTCAATCCAACACGACGGTATTCCCAATTTAGCACGACACCCTTGTAAAGCAATTGGGAAGCTGAAAATGACCAGGCCCTACACGTGCAGGAAACGCTGAAGAGGCCTCGGCAGTCGAGGTATTTGAAGATGCAGAATAGGATTTCAGGGTTGGTGATGACATGAGAGTTGACGGGTAGGTAGCGGTCGGTGGTGGACACTGGAGGACGCTGCTTGCGAGGAGAGAAAAATTGCGGGAGAACCATCGCTGAGGGGTGATTGAGGCATTTCTCTTTTTATTATGACTTCTGCGCCGGAAAGTGACAATGGAAATTGGCGCCTGGTCCCATGCACGCCCACACGCGTACCCCCGCCTTCCTTTGTCTGTTAAAAGATAATACATTGCTTTATACTCTCACGTCCGATGGCGACGGTGGCGGCATCCCTTCGATCTGTGTTTTGCAGGAACAAGGTCCTACTCCTGAGGCTTGCAGTTCGAGGATTGAAAGATAAAGATCCAAACTGTGGTGTGCATTGGGCAGCAGAGAAGAATCAACTTTACAGCTTTGGTCAAATTGTAATTTGTCTGCTTAGAGCCAGCTTTCGGCAAACTTTCGGATTCGGCCCAACGGGGAAAATAAAAAATTCTATGGATGCACTGATATCTTGGCCTTAGAGCTTAGAGATTCAGAACTACTGTTCTCCCATCGTCCGAATCATCTACATACCCATTCCTCATTTCCGGTGACCTTTAGTGAAGGTTTATCGTCGTCACTACAGCAGTTACGTCTCAGATACGTATACACGTATGTAAGACCTTATGTTCACTTCTTATAATGAATTAATTGTCCTTGTACTCTGATGGATGGAATCGTTACCGAGGTTGCAGAGCACTCTCAAGACCCTAAGGCTAACTACCACCGTCGGGTCTCCATGAAATCTACTGGCTAGTAAAGATTCAAGACTTCTGGAACTTGAATCGATAACCATTGAATTCTGATAAGAGTTGTCTGGCGACGGCCAGTCGAGTTTCAGCTCTCAGTTACATAGAATGAATCATTGATGTGTGCACTGCTATAATTCAGACAGTAGGGTAGTCAAGAAGTATATGTATGTCTGCCAGGAAAGCGTCGCGAATACTTAGGAACAGCTGGCTGGTAGTTGTCAATGGGCATTGAAACTTCACCTCCGACAACATGCGCGGGAGCTGGAAACGTACATTTTTATGTCTGGTCATCTTGGAAAGTACGTTTCTCCGGCTCGAAGAATCGAAAGTCCTCCAAAGATAGATACATCCTAAAAAGTGTTTCCTCATTTACGACTTGGAAGTATTCGACATTATATTTTTAGCACATACTACTTATGTATACCCATCTACCGATACCAGTTCATATACAAAGATCTTCAGGGCGGTCGAAGCGTACACCAGCTGCCTGGACACCCGAAGTCAGGGCATCATCAGGTCCGAGAGTACGACAACCAAAGGTCTTTTTTCTTTTGTGACTACAACTTCCCAAACAACCCAAACATACAAAGGACAGTCCAAAGTTTTACACATACTAACATGGGGAAAAAGGAAAGGAAAAGGGAGGTAAAAAGATGATATAGATATATATGTATGTAATGCTTGGGTTAGGTGGGAGGGTGTTGAGGTAGATAGAGTAACGTATACGCAGCCTTTGTCATAGCTTTAGCTTAGACCGAAATCTTCTTTGAGAGGACAAACACACAGACATAGAGGGGAGAAAACGGAAAGGGAACTACGAAAACAAGAACTAGAAGAAAGCCAGTAAAGACTTTGGGCTAAAAAGTGGAGTGAGAACGACTGTTGACACAATAAACACTAAAACATCCAGGAGGTAGGAAGGGGAAAGGTACTCATGGTCAAAAGGCTTCAGAATGAAGGAATCAAAGGAAGTTGGGGACAAGAAACACCAAAAAATGAATATAAACACAAACACTCGTACATGAAGTCAAGCAAATGATCTACAGTAACACAAGGTGGAAGGAGAACGAGGATTTGTTAAAATAACGAGTCGAAGCAAAACAAGAAAGCGTGCTGAAGCAGAGCGAATGCTATGACTCGAATTTGTATTTGATGATATTCGAACAATTTTTGGAGAATTTTTGAACTGCCCCGACTTACATACATTCATTCCATTCATTCAAAAATTTGTCTATCCGTTGCGAAAGAAAAAGTCCATTCGTTCATGAAGTTCGTACTCTCCTTGTGCTGGTTTGGTTTAGTTCACTTGTTCTTCGCGATCTCCCGAGCTGCCTTGATCAGTGGAGCCAGTGTCCGGAGAGGTTCCGAGAGTTTGAAGAAGGGATGCTACAAAGAGAAAATCCAAAGTCAGCCACATTCAGAAGCAAGAGAAGAAAACGAAACGGACCTTCAACAACTCTGTCGCCGTCGGCCTCTTCTCTGCATCCACTTCTAGAGTTTTGGCCAGATAGTCACTGAACGTTGATGACAAGTTCTCGGGATTGGCAATCTTCGGTGTACCATTGGTCGCGATAAGGTAAAGGGCCTTGAGTGGGTTCTGGTTGAGATAAGGAGGTTCACCCTCAATCATCTCTATATACGGCTATCAGAAGATGGAGGCCAGGAAGTAAAGCGGAGGAATCGCACCAATAGCCATAATACCCAAACTCCAAATATCAACCTTGGGTCCATATTCCTTCCTTGTGACGACTTCAGGAGCCATCCAATAAGGCGTACCGACCATGGTAGTTCGTTTAGCATTGGCAGGGTCGGAGATCTGAGCGCAGAACCCGAAATCGGCTGAAAACCAATGATGAGAGAAACGTAACCACGAACGTCGAAGTATACTCACTGAGTTTAATGTCCCCAACCATACTCAGCAAGACGTTATCACTCTTAATATCCCGATGGATGACTCCATGCCGATGCAAATGCTCCAAACCCTGCGCAGTCTCTCTTGATACCGCCGCAATCTGACCTTCCGTCATTAAGTTGGCAGTGACCACATCCGTAAGAGAGCCACCCTCCATGTACTCCATAACGACCCAAAGATCATTCTTGTATAGGAACGAATCGATATAGTTGACGATGTTTGGGTGACGAGAGGACCGCATGACGAGGATTTCGTTGATGATGAGGTCTTTTTTGGGTTGTTTCTCCAGGTCCATCTGCTTAATGGCCACTGCGAGATTAGAGCCAACTTGATGTGCGGTGTAGACACCTCCTGAAGCACTGGAGGTGCGTTAGAAAACCAGAGAGTAACAGGATACAATAAAAGACTTACCCTTGCCCGATCTTGACCAAGTTTCGATACAATAATGTAGGATCGGCATCTGTACAAATTTGTCGCAGCCGTCTGACAATGTCTTCTTCCTTTTCTTTGTCGACTTTTTTCTCCCTTCTCCTTGGTGTGGCAACACCAGCAGCCTTGGCAAGGCTTTGGGCAGCAGGACTTGGTTGCTGCTGCTGACGAACCTCTTGCTGACGTTCACGTTCTTTGTCGCGGTGGTCTCGGTGGCTATGAGAGGACTGGCTTTGCTGCTTGAGAGGCAAGTCAGTAGCAGAGGATCCAGGCGAGGGTTTATTGGAAGAATGTGATTTGGACTGGGAAACATTAACGGCACTGGGGGTGCCTGGTGATGACGCAACACCGTTACCAGCAGGGCGCCTGTCGCGGGTGGTATTGGATCGACCAACTGATTCACTTTGTCTGGCTGGCTTGGAAGGCGTGCGTTGGGAAGTAGAACGATCCAAAGCAGGACTGACGGCAGATGGGGGTGAAGGCGCGGGACGGAAGGCG